AGTGCAGGGTTTCACACACGAATTGCGGAGAGCGAGTGGGCAAAAGTGCAGGGTTTCTCTTGGGGCGGTCCAGCCTGCTCTTGCCATTGAAACAAGGCTTTTCAATGGGGAAAAAAAGTGGTTTGGGAGAAACTGCAGAGCCAAAACCGATGAAAAAGTGGCAAACTTCCATTCAAGAAAGGACTCCCCATTCTTGCAGAGTGAACAGAAATAATAAGAGGTCATCAGGAACATAGACGTTCTTAAGCTAGAACTTTGGGAAAAGGTACTTCTTGGGAACGACAACACCCATAATCCCCCACTGGCTATGGTAACCAGATAATTCTTTAAGTTGCACTCCGTGAAAATATTGTTGCCAAGCCTTAGACTTCTGGTTTGAGATGAAAGGCTGGACTCGTGGACTGAGGCCAGAGCCTATTATCCAAATCATGTTAATTGCAGTGAAGACCCTGCCATTAGGCAGAGTAAATCAGCAGCTTCAGACAGCGAGTACTCTGTGTCTTCCATGGCTTGTCCTGATCTTTTGAACTCTCCCACTATCCTCAGGGTGGTGGAAGAAATGTCTTTCATTCTCCGTATTCAACTGAGCAGTCCAGTTCGTCTTCCGTTGGTGGAACGGGAGAAGGGGAGCCATCTTGTCCTTTTTCTTCCAGCAGGAAAATGACTTGAGCTCGGCCGGCATCACTAAAGTGGTTTTCCTGAAAAGTTGTTGTGGGTTTTTTGGGCTCTTCGGCCATGTTCTGAAGCTATTGACTCATAACAACCTTCAGAACCCGGCCAATGAGTCTGAAAAACCCACAACGACCATTAAATCCCGGCCGTGAAAGCCTTTGCGAATACATTTTCCCTAAAACTTTGTATAATCAAATGCTGGACAAGCTTGCCCACTTCCTGCTATTTTCCCTTCTACCTGGGTCAAAGTCATCATCTTCTTCCTTTTTAAAGCCCACTTATCTGGGCAAAGGGGAAATGACCAAGTTAGGGGACATTCAAGAGGCCCTGGGAAATTCTTCTATTTCTTTGATCAAATTGGCTGCCCGTCTCTGTCTTCCTCTTATAATTTCTTTGTCAGCCAAGAGTCTGTCTTGCCTGCTGGATTCCCATATGGCAGACAAGCTGTCAGAATTTGAGCTGGATTTTTCTCCTTGGTTTGAGCAATTACAGACAACACCACTGGGGTTGATGGGCATCATCCTTGATGATCGATTTATCTGTGTTTATCATTATCTAGTTCCCCTGACATTGTTGGTAGAACACGTAAAAGGAAGATGAAAAGTAGAAGCCGCTCCAAGGAGTGGTCGTGGCCTTGTGCAGAAATGTTTTCAAGGTTTGCCGTGGTAAACTGGGAAGTGCAAATGCCTATCATGACAGTTCCCCATCATCCCTCCCCTGTAAGGACTGTCCAAAAAGGACAGGCTACTGGAGCGGTCCCTATCAACACATGAGGAGCAGGTCTTTGGTACTGTTAATGGCTCTTAATTGCACATTCAAGACCCAAGCATCTTTGTATATAATATTTTCTATTATAGCTGGCAGCGATATAATGTTCCTGAGAATTACAGCTGGGCATTGTAATCTAAAAATATCTGGAGAGCTGCATTTTGCTCTCACCCTAAGTATACAGTAGTCTAATGGGCAAAGACCGAAAGTCTAGTATTCATTAGCATTTTTTAAAAATTAACTACTGTTTACCACGTCACAATAGAACAAGCAGGAATCCATCTGTTCTGCTGTGAAGAACTGTTATCAGAATTTTAAATTAAAAAGTATCTGTGCCAAAGATTCAGACCATGAATCCCCACCCCCCCCACCTGGTCCCCCTGTTTGGTGCACAGCTGGGCAAGTTGACCTGTTGGTGCAGGATGGTGGACCCGCTCTAGTTTACTTTGTTCTCAGTGGGTGTGGTGGCTGAATGGGAACAGACTAAAATTGAGCCTGGTAGCCGTCAAAGCTGCCAATAGCTTCCTGTTGGTTTGCATTTCTGGTATGGTGAAGTAGCTTAATAGATTGAGCCGCTTCACAGTATCAGCCATTTTAAAAAAGCAAAGATACACACATAGGGTTCCCCCCCTCTTTTTTCAGTGCTCCCCCCCCCCCGGTTACATGCAAAAGAAGAGAAGGAAAAAGTGAGTGCATCTGGAAAGGCAAAGTGCAAACAGAGTGATGTGCCTGTATCCCCAGCAGAACATTAAGAGTCTTTCATTTTTACACGGACACACAGATCCTGTTGGGAAGATCTCTTGTTCAGATGCTTACATGCCCCTTTCGTTTTTGATCTGTTTTGCACCTTCCAGATAACCCTTGTCTCCTATTCTCTCTCCCCGCCCCCCCCCGTACATTACAAGATGCAAAAAGGGGTGGGTCCCTTTTCTCTCTCTCCACGGCTGCTTTTTTTCTCTCTCCACGCCTGAGATCTCATTACTAGCCCCCCTCTGTTCAGCACTGGTGAAACCTCATCTAGAATACCGTGTCCAGTTCTGGACATCGCACTTTAGGAAGGATGCCAACAATCTGGAGCAGGTTCAGAGGAGGGCGACGAGGAGGATCCGGAGACTGGAAACCAAGCCTTGCGAGGGAAGACTGAAAGAATTGGGCATGTTTAGCCTTGAGAAAAGAAGACTGAGGGGAGATAGGGTAGAATAATTCAAATACTTGACACATTGTCATACAGAAGAGGAGCAGAATCTGTTCTTAGTTATCCCAGAGTACAGGATGTGTAATAATGGTCTCAAAGGAAGCCAGATTTAGGCTAAATATCAGGAAAAAAAACTCTTAACTGTTAGAGCAGTATGACGCTTATATCGGGAGGTGCTGAATGCTCCAATGCTGGAGAGAAAACTGGACCACCACCGCTTTGATTTGCATTCCTGCCTTGTGCAGGGGGTTGGACTTGATGGCCTTATAGGCCCCTTCTGAGTCCCTTATTCTATGATTCTGTGATCAGGGAGGTGATGGGAGATTGCACACACTCCTTCTCCGCATGTCCACTTCTTTCTTTCTGCCTTCCCCTCCCTCCCTTCCTCCCTCACATTGGAATGAAGACTCAGCGGGCAATTTCCATTTCTGGAGATGCCCTGGCTGGCTGTAAATTGGATCTGTTCATTGCCTCGAGCAGAAAATACGACTTCCTGAATCACAGGGATGGCATTAACATTAAGTTAAAAGACAGAAACAGAACAGGGATCTTTGCTCTTCGGTGGGGAATCGAAATTCCAAGTCTCTGGAGATGTTAGCAGAATGGATTAGCTTGGAAGGTGGCAGAGTCTTCATAGCTGCTCGTTTTTAAGCAGAGGTTGGCTGCCCATCGGCCCAGGGGTGTGTGTCTGTGTTCCAGCTATGCATTTCCCGAAACTATAGGGGTTGGGCGAAATGACCTTTTGGGGTCCTTCCTGCTCTATAACGGTATGCTTCTGGGACACTTTAAGGATGAGATTACACATTAAGACCAGGTTTGCCTGCATGGACATTTTGTTGAGTAGTTTGTTTTTGCTGGGATTTCTTTTGTCCCCCCCCCACACACACACACCGCATGACATAGGAGGTGGGGCTTTCCCTCCTTAAATGAGGGTGTGCCAGGACCACGCGCCTAACAGCGTGCGAAATCCTCAAATTCTCTGATTCTATCTCTGGTCCTAATATGGTAAACAGGAAAGCCAATTAGCATTGCATACACCTGAGAGGCAGGAAAGTTTTAAGGGTCAGATCATACTTCTGCACCATTAGAGACCAGGCCGGGTAGGTGGGGCTCATCAGCCCTGGAAAGCAGCCCATCTAGGAGAAGGAAAACTCCGATTTCAAACCTCCACTGCCTTGTGGCTATATCCACTTAGAA